CCGCGCCGTACAATAAGCTGGGAACTGGGCAAGTGTAACGACACATCATGGGATCCAGCGCACCCCAGACGGAGCACCTAGGACTGGTTCTCTGACTCCACCTAAGGCGCAACACTGAACCCCGGAGCTCAAGGGTAACTACCGCAGTGGACCTGAAAAGGGTCGACATTCACAATGTCAACTTTCAAAAATCCAATACACATTTCCTCTCGCCTCTGTAAACAATACTAAAACAAAACCCCAGAGCCCCTACCAGGAACGAAGAACCAATTCCTCCTCAGGAGAACCGGCCGCGACCTCAAGCCCAACTCCTACGATCCACGAGAAAGAGAAATATCTCGCTCAGCTGGGGTATTAAACTTGGAACATTTGCCTCACTCACCAATAAATCATTAAGGAGTGAACATGGTCTACTGAGGGCCCTGAGAAGCGTGTCTAGCAAGAAAAAAGAAGGTAAAAAAATAACAAGGTAGAAACATCCGTGCCTCCGCAGCCCAGGAAGGGACTCGCATGGCGCGCAGAAATCACCCACGACAGCTTGCACAGGTCTGCGAACGCTCCGGTGCCCCCGGTGGACCTCCTGCTCCCGCCTAGTTACACTGGCCTGTGAGCCGGCTAAGCCATCCCGAGAGCTTCGCCAGAACACTCCAAATACGTCCATAGAAGTGACTGCAAACCGTGCTCTGTGCCTTCCCATCCTGGAGCCTAAAGGCGTAGCATCTAAATCAAGTCTTAGATAAAAGGCCAGAGTGGGTACTCCAATTTCGAACATATCCAAAAGGCCGCAAAACCGAAAATTTTTAGTCACATACACCGAAAAGCTCCACAAGTCAATTATAGCAAGAACCATTTGGGGAATGCACTCCGCAAAATCAAAAGATAGCATGCAGAACCTACCCGACCCCAGTGTGCTGAAAGGACAGAGCAACTAACAGGTGAATAAAGGACGAAAGCCACCCAAGAGAAATCAATAGACACCAAAAACATTTAGGTTGCCTATGGCCCTGTTAATGTATCCAGGAAAAACTGCCCATCTTGCAAGAAGCTCAGGAGAGAGAGCCCTTGTGAATACAGGAGCCTTTTTATGAAGAAAACCACACAGGAACATAAGAAGCCAATTCTTGCAGGCCCCACCTGACAAGATACCCGGCTCCCACTGCTGCATTATGAAGCCAGCTCTGTGGGGCAGCTCCAAGGTTAGGACTCCGTGCCTACAGCTCACTCATCCAGGACAATGGGGCCCCTGAGCCCTGGCCAAACCGGGCATTTCCTGGGGCCGACCTGGCCCAGCCACAGCCCAGCTGCCTGCAGACCACGTTAGCGTCATTAGTGTCCCAGCCGTCGTCACACACGGTGCCCCAGGAACCTCGGTACAGGACCTCCACCCGGCCCTGACACCGGTCACCTCCATTCACCAGCCTCAGGGCCAAACCGGCATCCGTTCCTAGAGGGAGACAGGAAAACTCACTCTCACCAGTGTCCCCTGAAGGAACATGTCCTCAGGTGACAGTAGGGTTCAGATTTCTCCCAGCAGGCCAAGGCCTCTGGGTCTCCAGCAGCATGGCAGTGACTGACTAACTGAAGTCAGTTGATTGCTATCTCGTGTTCAGGGGTTCGTTCCAGCCCTGGCTGGGGACTCAGCTGTGCATGTTCTGTCACTGAGTGAGCCCAGTGCCCAGCAACTCGACGGCCCAGCCAGGCCCCCACATGCAGGGAGAAGGGGAGAGTCATCACCTGGATCCCCAGTGACTGCTGGGGTCTAGCTGTGCCCCTGGGGTAGGTGCCACCACAAACAGGTACCTAACTTCCCCCCAAGGAGGCTAAGAGAGTTTGCCTTGGGTTCCTGTCCCTTGCAAACAACAGCATCCTGATTAATTAATTCTCCTTATAGCCATAATTCACATCTGGGGCAAAGGAGGGGACCTTCCTCACTGGGGAAGGTGGGGAGCAGCCTGAGGCTTCACGCAAGACCCAGGGATGTCCCCCCGGCCTGCAGACTGCAGAGCTGCAGGCTGATGCTTTGGCAGGACGCAAAGACACTTACCATGGGAAGGAGATGTTGTGGGCCACCACCCTGCAAGGAAGACACAGCAGGGTTAGAAATGAAGGGGTGGGGAACCCAGGTGGGATCTAGTGACCTGTGATTGTGAGCAGGGACAGTGAACACAGGCAAACTCTGGGGCTGGGCAAGAAAGAGGACCCTTCTAGGGAGCCTGCAGTGAGCAAGGCCATGGCCTTGAAGGGCCACGACAAGGCACACGGGAGGCACATTCCCAAAGGCCAATGACATTTCTCTCCTGACAGAAGGTTTGCTGATAGAAGCATCACTCAGTCTTTGCCAAAGGTCAGGACAAAAATATCTATGTTCTGTCCAGGCAGGTTACCCAGGGAACAGACGATGCTTTCTAGCACCTGTGACCCAGGACAGAACCTCTTTCTCCCAACACAACTGCTGAGTGAGCACCATGAAGCAACCCTCATCAGGAACCAGAAGGTTCTCATGCCCCCACCCATAAAGGAGCATCTACCTGCTGTGAGCTCAGCTGCACCCCCCACCCACCCTAAAATATCAGGGAATGTTCTGGGCAGCGGCAGGAGTGCACAGAGGCCTCATGCACCTGCTGATCTGGGCTGGGGAGAGGAGCAAGGAAGGAGGAGACACCCGACAGGTGTGGAAAAGCAGGACTCACCTGGCCCGGTCGTGGACGAGACACCTGTGAGAAACAGGAGGGCACATCAGACACACTGCACAGGAGGCGGCAAGACTAGGACAAGGGTGGGGACACGGAGTTGGGAAAACACTCAGCTCACGCTTGTTCCCTGCCTCCTGGGCTGGGGCCTTGTCATGCAAACCCATGCAAAGATGTCCCTTGGGAGTGGCCCAGGCAGGTCCTACAGAACATTTCTAAATCAAGGTGATTAACTGTGTCTGGATGTGCAGAGCGGCTTCACCAGAAGCCAACCCTCTCCCTGCAGGCTTAGCAGTTGACCAAGTCAGGAAGCCTCAGGAGGCCAGCGCTAGGCCCATCCTAGGAGTGCTCCTCCAGCCCCCCGCCCCAATATACCCGGGCTCTGCCCGCAGGCCACCAGGGGCCTCCTTCCTCCAGCAGACTAGGCGCAGGGGCAACACAGCGCAGCTCTCAGAGGGAGCCTCAGTCCCAGACTCTGGCCTTGCAGCCCCAGGCAGGACGGGCACACACACCTGTCTGCATGCCCAGTGCAGGTGCCTCTGGGGTGACACCTCCACACAAAGAAAGAGACTGTACCCCTGGGCCTGAGACTCCCTATTAGGAAACATGAGGGCCACTGCTTCATCCAGGACAGGCCCCAGGAGACTCTGCATCAACCCAGGGAGCAGCGACAGCAACCCTGAGCAATGACTGCACAAAACCCCAGTATCCACCCTCCAGGTCCATGATCTGGAAGTTGGAGGATAATTCCAGAACAGCCTCTACATGATCGAAATCTGCAATCCACTGCCTACCTCCCTCGTGAGTACTGGGTTTGGTACCTTCCTACCATCCAGCCACCCTGGCCTCCTGTCCCTAAGCCCCTTCACCACTTTCCTGAGTGAGCTATTGGCAATGCAGTCCTGTCCTCTGCTTTACCAGCAGGGAATACTGAGAGTACTACAGTCTCCACGACAGGGGGCGCTGTACCAACCAGATCCCAAAGTTGCTGTCCCTGAGATGCAGCCTCAGGTAACATTGGGGGTGGGAGGTGGCACATGTTCCTGTAGCAAATGAAAGGCTCATTGTTTCTGCCCCTCAGGTGGACCGTAGGACCCTGGGGTCCTAAGCCACGGACGCAGGCTAATGGCAGCAAGCCAACTGCCGCGAGGATACTGCTCTCGCACTTTGTTTTTCTGGCGCGGAGGACCGAGGCTGTTTTTAAGCGCACCACCTCTGGCGTTTCCGCGCTGGACGTTGGATCGGCGACCGTTGGCGCTCCAAGCACGAGCCCGCGGCAGCCGAGGTCTTCAGACTCCAGGGGGCTAGACCGCGTGGGGGAGCGCTGAGACAGGGCAAAGCAGCGGGCGCGG